AGAAAGGGTGACTTAATTTCTTACTTTTCCTTAAAAGTGCTGACCTTACTATGACAACAGACTATTTTTCTGTAATTTTCATTGTCAACTAATTTACAGATTACAGACTTTAATTTCTCATTATTTTCACAGTAGAATGCTCATTGCCAGTGCTGCTACAAAGAAAAATCTGAAGTTTCAAGGTGGTGGAAAATTTTACCAGTTGGGAAAATTATTATTATTATTATTTTTTATATTGGGGATCAAACTCAGGTCCTTGTGCTTGCAAGGCAGAAGGCAGAATCACTGAGCTAAATCCCTGACCCTAATATTTTCGAAAATTGATATTAGTGATGTATGACTGGGTTTATGTAATTAATTTGACTAAATGTTTCATATAAAATATTGAAAATGATATTGTGAAAATAAAATTTAATGTTATAAATAAGGGAAGTAGAATATGGATGGATTTTTAAAAGATAAAAAAATCATGATCCAGTGAATAGTATTCCTGGTTTTCTTTTTTAATAAAGGAAGTGTCTCAAGCTTTGAACACTTATTTTCTATTCTTCATCCCCATTAAAGTTAGAAAATCTTTGGAAATTTGCATAAGATGGACCAGTTTAGCTAATTACGAGCTCAGTGCACTGAGCCTTCAAGGTCATATAATATGAAGTAATCAGTTTGTACCTCCAGACTGTTAGTTTGATGGCTCCAGTCCAGTGGGAATAACACTAGTATCTTTTCTCCCCATGGTTATGTGGATGAGGAAGCTGCTTTTAGCACTGTATTTCTAGCAAGCCTGAGGAAGCAATCATAGCCATCACTGGACAGGAACCTAGGAAGTTGCATTTGATTCACGCTCTGTGGTCATGACACAGCAGAGAAACAGCTTAAACCAGTAAGTGCTGATGTAGATCTCTGATAGAGAAGAGGCATTAGATAGCTTTTTTTTCATCAGCATCCAGACTCACAGGACAGTTTGTTTAGATAGAGGGGAGGATACCAGCATATGAAATTTCAGCTGTGAGGTGCATGAAGTTTATGCCCCAGATTGTTTTTGAGGTCCCAGGTAACTCAGTCTGAGTTTTGCTTTCCCACACACTTGTACATGTTATAAATATCTTTCCCAGAGAAGCATAGAATGAGCTTCTGTGTGGTGTTACCTGAGTATTTCAAGAAATTTATGAAGGGGAGAAGAAGGGAAAGGAGAAAGGGGACAAAGAAGAGGAACTGAAAGAAGAGGATGAGAAATAAAACAACAGTGATCATAATGCTGTGAACCATATTTGAGGGACTTCTGAGTGCCAGACTCTGAGCTATGTGTTCTCTGTAGGGTGTTTCACTTAATTCCATCAGCACAGACTTCCCCAAGTCATAAGTATCTATTAAAAGAAGGAGGTAAGAATTTTTATGTAACTGTTATTGGGTGGCTAGGCCAAAATAATGAAGCTTAGGTTCATCTTTCTGAATATAAACAGTACATCCTGCCACGTGAAACCTGACATGCTGTTCCTTTAATCACCCAGTAAGACATGTCACTTCTCTGTCACCCTGGAAAGTGACTTCCTATTCACTATGCTCTCTCTTCTTTGAAGCTTTCTGGTAGAAGAAGAGGCACAGCAGTGGGTGGCACCTGCTGCAGTCAATATAGGAAGGACAGGTATAGATCACAGGCAAGGATCCTAGAAAGAGGAGGCAAAGAATGCAGCACAAATTTCCCTGTCATCTCCAGAATGACCTTGGAGCTGTCCACATCCTGATCCATTTCAGTAATCATCCCACTCAATCTCAGAAGGAGGCACACAACCAGGAGTGAATTTCATCCCCACTCAGGAATTTTGCCAGAGTTTGAAGATGCTCCTACAGGCACTTGCAGTTTAATCTCCTGGACATCTGAGTAAAATTTTCTGATGCCTTTGCAATAACTAAGAAGATGGGTACAGTGGACCCAGGCACTAATGGTTTAAATTTCAATCTGTTGATGCTCTTTATTATTCTGTGACATGGAATAGGTTGCTAATATCTCTGAGTCTTAGTGTTATTTTCTTGGTCAATTTGTAGTGGACATTACATTATAGACTTGAGGGAATCAATTGGTATGTATACTTTCTACATAATTACTAAGTGATGAATATGTAAAATAAGGGCCAAATACAATTAGGTATCATAATCATCATCATCATCATCATCATCATCATCATCATCACTATCACTGATAATGTTAATCTTCTTGCCTTTCAACTAAAACATCCTGTTACTTGAAGCTGCTGTTTATTTCTGCAATGTCCTTAATATAAGTGTGCAGCATATACTTACAGAGAGATGAGTTAGTCTCTTTCATTTTTTTGTTTTATTTTTGTTGATGCATTTTTGCAATACATAGTGATCATATTCCTCATGGGGAGTTAGTACATGTAATAACAGCTTGAGTCTTTATTGTTCCATATACCTTCCCTCTCTCCACTTCTTTGTATTCATCCCTTTTGGAAAAGGTTTCATTTCCTTACAGCTTATACATTGTTTGACACAGGGGAAACATCAAAAATAAAAACATGTTGAACACTGAAGAAACAGTTCCTTGTTCACCAAAATTGACTGTAATTAGCAGAATCCAGCACTTGGTACACTCCCATCTGCTATTTCGTCTCTTTCAGGAATGTCTAAATGAACAAGGGACAAGAAATAAGAGCTCTCATCTGTCTGTAGCTTGGATGCTTGTGTTGTAAAACTCTTTAACAGCATCTGCAATACTTACTTATTCAAACTGCAGAGATAGCCATAAAGGCAGAAAGGCAAGTGGGCAAGTAACCTTTATTTTTGAGTTGATTCGCTACTCAAAGTCACATAGTTTTAGGCTTCTCTGGTTTTGGCAATTATTTTCCTTAATAAGTCCCCCATTTCCATAAAAATGGAAGTGTTCATTTGAAATGTGATTCATTGAGGAATATAAGTTGCAAACATGATTTGTGTGTCTCACACGTTGTGAAGAACAGCACTATTCTCCATCTCATTTAGCAGCATGAGCAGAGAGAGGTGGAGAGATTCAATATATCCTGTGTATAGTAGCACATCAGTAATCTGGAACAAATATTTTGATTTCCTGTCTTCCCTCCCAGGGCGTTATTTTCCGTGGTGGAAATATTATTCCCTATAAGACATGACATGTCTGGCTCACTAGGATCATTAATAAATATACATTAATGTTATTTATGACAGAATGCATTAACAGTAATAAGTTATATAGGATTAGCACTGTTTATTTATTGAGGCAATTAATATATGTGACTAATAATTAAAGGAAACATGCATCAGTTGTTGGAACTAAAATAACCATCTCCCACCCACGTATCTGAAAATTTTGCCAAAAGATTTGGAAACAGTATTGTACTAGTAAAACCACTAAATGATGTTTCTCCTTCATGTAATGCTTTGAAGCAATTAAAGCACTTGAAATCAATGTATGTGCTGCACAGAGGGTCTTAAAACTATGTCAGTGTGAACTACTACACTAAGGGGGGGTTAGATGTTACATTCCTTGCTGCTTAGATTAGCTTTAGAGCCATTGTTTGTAAACCTTAAAGAAAACACTATGGATGCCTAAATCAGCATTAAAATGTATATATTGACAGAGAAATACACCCATGGCCACACCCATGCAGGAATTCTTTTTTATTCATACCAAGGATCAAACTCAGGACCTTATGTGGTACCAGTGAGCTAATTCCCTAGCCTAACCCAGGCAGGAATTGTTTTAGGGAACAGGTGAACAGGAGAGCAATTTTTTCTTTTGCATGTGTTATTGTCTTGATGTCTCTGAAGCAAGAGGATTATAATTCATATACTTGGAAGTATCACTGTGAAAATCTATTAAATGGCATTAGAAGGGAAGGTCTTGAATGTGGACTTTGGGATATTATTTAGTGCCAAGCTAAATTCTTAACAACTCATACAAGGCTTTCTGATTTCTAAAAAGACAATTTTCTAGGCTGCATATTACAGACTATAGAAGCAAAGCAAAGAGCTGTCTTCCTCAGAGAACATTTTGCTGAGCTACATGAGGTTGATGCAAATACACAGTAAAAAAATACAGAAGTACTTTTACCAGTTCATTTTTTAAAATTGAGTTTATTGGTACATTTTAGGTATACAGTACCGTTACATTCATTATTGGGATTTCGTACCTTTACATGTCAGGTCTTGGTTCTCATTTTTTCCCCTTGTACTAGTTGATTGTCTTTTTTTCAGCTTTAATTGAGTTTATTGGTACATTTTAGGGATACAGTACAGTTACATTCATTATTGGGATCTTGAACTTTTGCATTACAAGTCTTGGTTCTCATTTTTTCCCCTTGTTCCTGCTTGCCCTTCACCCCCTCCTGCCCTCCCCATTTACAAACACTTTATTTCCATTTTCTCATATTTTTTCATTTCCCTTATTACCTTTCCCCTACCCTTCACACTTTCCCTACACCTTTCAAAAGATAAACAAAATTGGAGTGAAGAGCTCAGCCATAAAGGATAGAAATTTTTTTTCCTCATTGAGTTATTGGTACATTTTAGGTATACAGTACAATTGCATTCATCATTGGGATCTTATACCTTTTACATGACAGGTCTTGGTTCTCATTTTTTTCTCTTACTCTTTCCTTCCCTGTACCCTGTCCTCCTTTCCCCATGTACAAAAACTCTATTTCCATTTTTTCATTTTCTCATATTTTTTTCTTTTCCCTTATTTCCTATCCCCTACCCTTGTGTAATAGGAAGAAAAGGGCTAAAGAATGGAAACTTTTAAAAAAAGTACAAGAAGCTGAAACATCATTGAGATAACTGATACCTAATATTTCTGAACTATGTATTTTATTTTAGCATTTGTATACTACAGTCCAAGATCTTATTCATTGTCTTAAATATTTTAAGCCAACGAATGTTTCATTGTTGTTTGAGTATTTGACCACTATTTTCCTTTTCCCACCTTGTTTTCTTCTCAAAAGGTGTCTGCATGACATGGAACCACAAAATCTTATACGTGCATCACAGTTCCAACTCCTTAAACTCTCAGAAGATCCAGACCTGCAGCCTGTTCTCCTTGGGCTCTTCCTGTCCATGTACCTGGTCACAGTGCTCGGGAACCTGCTCATCACCCTGACCATCATCTTTGACTCCAAACTCCACACCCCTATGTACTTCTTCCTCTCCACCTTGTCCTTGGCTGACATCTGTTTCATCTCTACCACAGTCCCCAAGATGATTGCAAACATCTTAATTCACAGCAGGGTCATCTCCTATGCAGGCTGCCTGACACAGATGTCTCTTTTACTAGTTTTTGCATGTATGGATGATATGCTTCTGGTTGTGATGGCCTTTGACAGATTTGTGGCCATCTGTCACCCCTTGCAATATCATATCATCCTGAACTTTCACCTCTGTATCTTTTTTGTTCTGGTTTCTCTTTTGTTCAGCATTTTGGATTCTCAGATACACAATTTGATTGCCTTACAATTCTCCTACTTCAAAGATGTGGAAATTTCTAATTTCTTTTCTGATCCTGCTCTGGTGCTTAGTCTTTCATGCTCTGATAGTGTTACTAAAAATATAGTCATGTATTTTGTTGGTGCTGTCTATGGTTTCATTCCTGTAACAGCAATCATTTTGTCTTACTATAAAATTATTTCTTGTATTCTGGGAATCTCTTCATCATGTGGAAAGTATAAAGCCTTTTCCACCTGTGCATCTCACTTATCAGTTATTTGCTTATTCTATGGAACAGGAATTGCAGAATACTTTTCATCCTTTATGTCTAGTTCTAGAAAAAGTGCAGTAGTCTCATTAATGTGTACAGTTGTCACCCCTATGCTGAACCCATACATTTATAGCCTAAGGAACAGGGACATTAAAAGTGCTCTTCAGAGACTGTGGAGCAGAACCACAAAATCTCATCATCTCTTTCCTCCTTCTTGTAGTTTGCATTGAAAAAAAAAACCCCACCTAAACATTGATTTCTGTAGATCCCACCTCCTTGCTCACACTGTTGCTATGGCTCCATGGCTTTAATTCTACTCTAGAAATCATATCTCCATATTGATCCTTTACTATTCTCTCTCTATTTCTTTCATCTTTTTTCTTGCTTGCTTTATTTTATCCTTCCACCCCATTTTTCACTGATAGTGGAGATTGAACTGAAAGCCTTTACATTGAGCTACATTTCTAGACCCTTTTAATTTTTTACTAGTTACTAAATTACCTTGGCTGGGCTGAAATTTGTGGTCTTCCTGACTCATCTTCTCAGGGTGCTTGCATTATAGGTATATGCAATGGTTTTTCTTTCATTGTATCAAGTATATATTCCAGAATCCTTCTATCATAAACATAATGACTAAATCAATATCCCAAGAAAGCATCTGTGATTTTAGATCATCTATCCTGACCACGCTGTGAAGTACGGTGACATATTTTCAAATATATGTATTTCATAGTATATCATTTTTATGCTCCATGTATGTTTTCTTCAGATATTGTATCTAAGACATTTACTGATGCATGTCCTGTCTAGAGGCCTTATCACTAGTGCCATGTTTGGCTTAAGTGAGTCAGTCCTTCACAAACAGGACAAACAAAGAGGCTGTTATCAGCAAACAACAGGCGATGTCTCAGTAAACAGAAGACAGCCTGCCCAGTGCTGAAAAGTCCAGTCTTTGTCTACACGCCTGTGCTGACTGTCCTTGGAATCAATCATAAATATTTCACCCCAGATTCCTTAGCCCTTTCAATACCTATATAGGCCTAATTCCTCTCTCAGCTAGCTTCTAATGTCTCTATGTAAATGTTAGCCCATACACCCATGGATGATATCTGTCTCAGCTTACTCTCTCCCAGTGTCAGCCCATGCACACACAGATGCAATAAACTCTATAAACTTGGCTTTTCCCAACTAGCTGCTAGAATCTATCCTTGATTTTTGTGGTACCAGGGATCGAACTCAGGACCTTGTGCTTGTGAGGCATTGGTGGCACGACTGAGCTAAATCCCTGGCCCCATGTGCACCATTTAAAACAACTGGTTGTTAAGGTTGGCTTTAATTGTAATCACCCAAGGGAATTAAAATACCCATACTTCTTAAATCTTATTTAAGTGGCATCATGTATATGCACCAAATACCCATTATAAATATAATCATTATGTGTCATAAAACATGAGCTAAAATCATCATATTAAATTAACAATAAGGATGAAAATGGGGAAAGAGGATCTAAGAGATAGAGGGAGGGATATAGGTGGAAAGGGGAAAGGGATTAAAAATGTATCAAGCTGTGCGATGTACATGCACCCACTCCCTAAGATGAATGTAGACGTCATATATGGCAGACACATAGTAGTAAAATAAAAATAAAATACTGGTGCTTAAGTTTTATTATCAGAGATTTCCATTTATATGGATCTGTCTAAATGTTAGCTTTTAGAAACCTTCATAAAAATTTGTAATACCAGTTCTGAAAGGGATCCAACTCGATTGTGTAAGCTAGAAATAATCTTATAGTAATAATACAAGAGGCAGGTTTTTAAAAAATACCATCTGAAAGTTATGTCCTTCAACAATTTGTCATAGTTACCTCTGATTTTTAGGTTATTTCCTCCTGCTCCCTTGCCACCCTCCTACAGTTTTCTTTTGCCAATTCAATTCTTTTCACTGCTCCCTTCACATTCCCGGAGCCCTTAGGGTTTTAAAGCCGGTCTCTGGTCTATCTCTGGCGACATCATTCCCTTTTTTGCATTTGTCCTGCAGTAATTATCCTGATAGGGAAAACTTTTGTAAGCAGCAAAAACCTATAAAGTGCTACAATGTAAAATGGCTTCTGCTGTCTCTAACAGCAGTTTGCTTTGTTTAGCTCAAAACTAATAGGCATCAAAAGCATTAATTGCTGAATGAGGTATTTGGTCTTACCCTCTGATAACAGAGCACATCAAGGTCTTGAGCTCCGATCAGACTGGAGCCACATGCTCATAAAAGTGTCCAAATGAAAGGACTCATTGCTAACATTTGCTCCCCTGACCCTGAATACCTCCTTCCTATGAACTAGAATAGTTAACTAAGTGAATCTTAAAGGTGGAACTCGCCAACTGCAAAGAAGTGTTACATCTGGGTTGCAAAGATTAACTCTTCTGTGACCGTGATTTAAACTGTGAGAATGAAATGTAACCACACAAATAAAGTCAAGGCTGTTAAAATTAACTCTTCTGACCGTGATTTAAACTGTGAGAATGAAATGTAACCACACAAATAAAGTCAAGGCTGTTAAACCCTATTAAAGGAGGAATTGTAACCAAGTGAGTTGTCGATCCAGGCGTGGCTTATGTGTTATCGACCCTTATTAATAAGAAAATTTATTATTTTACCTCTATTCTGCTGCCTCTGTGTGTCACTTACTGATTCCTTCCATAAAAATCCAACCAGTTTATGTTATGTTATTCTTTCCCTTGGATAATTAGGCTTGCTTACATTTAGTGAGTGAACCTGAGTAATAATTTATAACGTGGAAGAAAAACTGTATGTTGTGAGTTGTCGGCAATTGTAATACAGTGCCACCTTGATTGGCAAATTTAATTTGCTTCTGGGGAAGATGGCCATGGTCATATTGTCACCTGATATGCAGTTGATGAATCGAAGCAAAATTTTGCTGATTCTTCTGTTTGAGAACCAAATTGTTCATGAACAGAAGTGTTTGTGAACTGAAGTATTACTGTTCCTCAAAATATTCTTGGGAAATGAAGCTGGTTTTAAACATGACTGTGCTCAGGTACACAGCTGAGAAGTTAATAGTGGCCTTCTGGTTTCAGTTGCTCTATGGCTTTTGTGGTGTCTGAACATTATTAGCAGTTGTATGACAGCTACCTATAGCTTTTGTCTGTTTTACTTTACACAACAATACCAATATCCCTGTCACCAGCCAAAGTGAGCTTTTCTTCACCCAACTGATCACCGAGGGCCTTGACAAATGAGAGGGTAGCCCTGTTTTCTGATATCACCTGGCAGCCTATCCCCACAGGTAAAGCTGTGATTTTTCCTTTTTCACTTAATGATTTAGTAGACATTCATGGTGTATTGATACCTTGAATGGGAAATATTTGTAAAGTTGACAGCAGCCACTGAAAGTATAGAACAAACTTTGATTAGAATAATGAATACTAGTAGTAGAAGGAATGTGATACTTTTAGATGCTGCAACAGTATATATTTGTCTTTTTCATATTTATTTCATATGTTATTTTCATTTTATGAAGAAATAAAACAAATTTGCATAATCAAACAATAAGAAAATAACAATAATTATTGCATAGTGCATCATTATTTTCAAAGTAGTTAGCACAAAACATAAGCCATAAAGATTCTTTAAAAAATAAGCAAATATATATATTGATATTTAAACTTCTAGCTCCCATATGACTCTCAGAATCTTCAGCAGCAAATGAAATGCAACAGAACATTTCTTCCAAAGGCGTGAAATAATTATGTACCTAGAATAAGTTAAATATTTCCCTTACTAATGGAAATTTCCATTCTTACATCAAAAGATTTTATTTTATGTGTGCATTCTAGAATTTCACATGGAACCTATTATAAACTGTATGACTTTGATTATTATTTAACATGTGTATCTGTAAAACTCTGAAAACCATTTCTTAATTGAAAGTATGGTTCTGAAGTTATAATTGAATGTAGTGATTAGAACAGTATTTTCCACAGAGGCAGATAAATAATGGGAAACTGTCATGATCAACATATTATTGAGAAATGCATTGTTCAACATATGGGCTTTGTAATAAAAACTGATTCCAAAATCAGTTGCAAAATATTAGCTAATTTCACTGGGGCACATTTTTGACTCTCATGGCTTCTAATACCTTACTTTAATTATAAGTAGCTTAAAAACTCTAGGATGAAATTGATAATGCACACCCCTGGTATTAATTCAGTAAATAGAAATATTAACATCATCTATTTGAGGTTTATTAACTCTATGTTAGTTATTTGAATTCTAAAAGTGCTTTACTGTGGAAAGCTGACAAACCATCAGATTTATGTTTTTACATGAATCATTGGCCAGATCAAGGGTAGGTAATCATCATTTATATACACTCAAAATCTAACACAATGTGTGCAAAGGTTTACCCATTGCTATTTCATACATCTATCCAGCTAGTTTCACCTATCTTCTATCTATCTATCTATCTATCTATCTATCTATCTATCTATCTATCCTCTATGAGTCCATATTTACACACGATTATCCTATTGATTCTGTTTTTCTGGGGAAGCTTGAATACTAATAAAGGTGTAGCTGTCATAGAAATTTTTGGTATTTCTTCAAAAAATTGAAACTAAAATTACTATGTGATCCTGCAGTGCTGCTACTATACATGTATCCATATTATCTGACATCAATATATAAAGATACAAGTATAGTCCCATAATCATGGCAGCATTATTCACAATACCAAGATATGTAATTAGGCTAAGGTTTTGTCAACAGATGATTATAGAAATAAATATGGGAAATAAAACGAATGGAACACTAATGCAGCATAAAGAGAAGGAAGTCATTTTACATAACATGGATGATGCTACACAACGTTCTGCTAAGAGAAATGTGGCAGCTATAGAAAGATAAACTGCATCAACTCACCTGTAGAATGTGAAACATTCAGTCCCATGAAAAAATGGTGGATACCAGAGATAATGGATCATAGTTGAGAAGACATTTGTCAAAGAATACAATTTCAGTTGGGAGATCTAATTCAAGAGATCTACTGTATACAATCATGAATATAGTTAATAATAAGTTGCATAATTAAAATAAGTGTAGAAAGTGTTTGAAGGGGGAGGTTAGGAAGGGGGGAGGGGGGAGCAAGGGGAAAAATGAGAACCAAGACCTGGCATGTAAACGTATAAGATCCCAGTAATGAATGTAACTGTACTGTCTACCTAGAATGTACCAATAAATTAAACTTAAATTAAAAAAAAATAAGTGTAGAAACACACAGTGGGGTAATTTATTCATAAAACAAGTACCTGATCAGGTTCACATTATTAGAATGTACAAAGAAATCTTACAGGTCAAAGGTAAAATTATTCACTTCACTATTTCAAAAGGAGCAAAACCTTGAAAAGACATTTGATACATCACATATGGAATCTAAAAAGAATGACTGGAAAAGATTTGTAGGCAGTCATGGAAAATTGCGAGTCAAAATCACAATAAGATACAACTTGAATTCCAATGGTAGGCTACACTTCCATAAAGTTGGAATCACAAGTACTGATGATTATATGAAGATATTAGAAGATTTTTACACTAAAGTGCTAAATGTGTTTTTCTGTTCTTGAAGATTCTAAGCACAAAATGACTTTCTAAACTAGTAATTTATTCCACTTCTAGATATAATTCTTTAGTAATTAGAAACAAGCATAATCATTTGCTGCTTAACAAGTAGGATGGGTTTTTTAGAAGAAAAGATCTGTGCTGGAGATTTTTTTTGTCATTATTGCCAATAACATACAGTGTTCTTAAATAAATAAAGATGAAAAGGATTTCACTAAGCCATATAATGTTATGTGACCCCAGAGCAGATACAGACTTGAGTAAAACATCATTCTGTAGCATATGATTGTGCTTAAACAAATACATGTGCTTGTGTATTTATTATATTCAAGAGCCAAAGGCTGGAAATCACCAAAATATTTACCATTGGATGAATGGATACACAGAAGGATATTATTAATCCTTAAAAATAAATAGAACAAGTTAATATTATCAAATAAACATGCCCAAAGGAAAGAGGAAGAGATAAAAGGAAAAAATGAGGAAGCAGAGAAAGACAGAATGCTGGAAAGAAAGAATAAAACAAGGAAGGAAGGAATTAAAGGAAGGAAGAAAAGGAATTCAGAAAAGAAAGGAGGGAGGGAGAAAGAAAAAAAAGGAGGTCCACAGGGAGGAAGGAAGGAAGAAAATTAGGAAGGAAACATGATAAGGGGAAAAAGTAATGAAAGGAAAATAAATGAGAAGATAAAGAAAAAAAGGAGGTCCACAGGGAGGAAGGAAGGAAGAAAATTAGGAAGGAAACATAAGGGGAAAAAGTAATGAAAGGAAAATAAATGAGAAGAGAAAAAAGATTCCCCAAAATTACAAATCTCAGAGTTACTTTGGGCATCACATCACTTGAAATCAAGTGAAGAAATGTAGCTTTGAAAGTAGATTTTAGTTTTCATGTTGAAAATCTAACCACTGTCTTAGCACTAATTACAATAGATAACAAATGTAGGAGCATGTGCTTAGTGTCCCAACCTCATGTACTTAACTTCAGAAATTATGTGACTGAAAGAAATTATTTCAAAGGCAATATTTCAATAATAACGTCATATAAGCAAAATGACAAGAACAGATCTGATATGGTAAGTACTCTGATGACTTTTATACCCTTTACTCTGGGAAAATTAGAATATAACAATACTGTGGCAAAGAACATTAACATCAAGCAATTATTTTAAATAAGATCATATCTGCCAATGATATTTGTGCTTCCAATATTTTAGCAGTATCATCAATGTGTGAGAAATTTTATTTAATTTGAAACATTATGCACTATGCATAAAAAGGCAAATACAAAGAAAATCCTGAGGGAGTTGTTGAAGAGAAACAAATATCAAAAATATATACAAAATAAAACAAGTGCTTTAGGAACATCAGAAATTAAGCATGTTAGGCCAGGTGTGGTGGTGCATGCTGGTAATTCCAGCACTTGGAAGGCTGAGGAAGGAGGATCACTGTGAGTTTGAGACCAGCCTGGGCTACATAGTGAGTTCCAGGTCAGTCTCAACTACATAGTGAGACCCTTTCTCAAAAAAAAAAAAACAAAACAAAAATTAAGTATGTTATTTAGGAGAGAAAAGGAGCCATTATACTGAAATTCAAAGCATCTGTTTTAGGGATTGTAACATCCCTTTAGTTCTGAGGTCACTGGTCCATGATGGACCAGAGGCTGCTCTGCTGAGGAGTCTTCCCAGGGCCCCCTTCACATCCTTGTTCCTCAGGCTGTAGATGAAGGGGTTCAGCATGGGGGTCACCACAGTGTACATCACAGAGGCAACAGGGCTTTCATGGGAAGAATCGGTCCAAGCAGAACTCAGGTAAACTCCAAGTCCTGTTCCATAGAACAGTAAGACCACACAGAGGTGAGATCCACAGGTGGAAAAGGCTTTATACCTGCTTGCAGTGGAGGACATTCTCAGCAAGGAGGAGACAATCTGAGAGTAAGAAAAGATGATCCCGGAGACTGGCAGCACAACTATCAGGACAGTAGCAACATACAGAGAGATATTGTTGATGAGGATATCAGATCTGGCCACCTTGAGAAGCTGATCCAGTTCACAAAAGAAATGAGGGATTTCAGTGCTTGCAGAGAAGATGAGTGGCATCATTAGGAGAATATGAATAAGGGAGACACAGAAAATGATGACCCAGGACATCAGAACAAGGAGTCCACAGAGCTGAGGTTTCATGATGAGTGTGTATCTCAGGGGGTGGCAGATGGCCACAAAAGCGGTCATAGGCCATCACTGTCAAAAGAAAATTATCCATTCCCATGAAAATCATTATAAAATAAACCTGAGTTAAGCACTCTACGTAGGAAATACCTTTGTTCTGTGTCTGGATGTTCACCAGCATCTTTGGGACTGTAGTGGAAATGAAACAGATGTCCACAAAAGATAGGTTGGTGAGAAAGAAGTACATGGGAGTGTGGAGGTGGGATTCATAGCTGACGGCCAGGATGATGAGCAGGTTTCCGAGCACTGTGACCAGGTACATGGACAGGAACAGCTCAAAGAGAAGGAGCTGAAGTTCTGGATCATCTGAAAGGCCCAAGAGGAAGAATTGTGCCACTCCTGTGTAGTTTTCAACTTCCATGTTACTTGTTTATCTTCTGGAGAAGGAGAAAATAGAAATGCTCAATGAACAGTCATCTGGGACCTCATGAGGTAACCTCTATGTAATAGCACTTTTTGATGGGTGTCTTTCACTCACTGTGGTGTCCTATCAATAGTGATTCATTCAGCCACTTGATAGTTCATTTCCATTTTAAACATGTATAATCAATCCCACTTCCTTAGTGTATCAGCAATTTATTTTACTGAAATAACTGACTCACTTGTTTTAATTTTAAAATTTTAATTTACGAATATAATCTAAACTTTTTGTCATATCACTTTTCCAAAATAATTGTAGTATTTGCATGTACTTTCTTGGATAATTTCTTTAGGTCTTCATTGTACTTTCTACAGTAGTTTCTTAACAGTGATGTTTTTACACAGCTTTATTCTATGATTTGACAGTTCACAGTGATGTGATAATTAAATATCATTGGCATAATTTAGTTTTTTAAAAATATAATTTCTACTGAAACATTGGTCTCAAAATTTTAAAATGTCTTTGTTCTCAGTAGGAGTCATTTTATGGCTCTAGATATTTTCTTTCTTACCATAATTATTTGGGGTATATAAAATTCTCAAATTATAATATGACTCTAATTTTTAAGTTGGATTTTTGAATCAAACTTCATAGGATAGATTCCTTGGCACCACATCCTTGTGGCCTTGAGATAGTACTTCAAACTCTGCAATAGATCATCTCTGCAGTAGGAGTAGTACATGTTCACTACATGATAAGATTCAAAAAAATTATAAGGATACTGATATTGTTTTCCTTTTTTGATACAATGATCATCTCAAAGAAATAAATTTCTGTGCTTAACATTGCAATAAGTATTTCTTGGAGGTCTGTCATTTAGAAATAGATCCTTAAGCTGTGGAAATTGTCATAGATGGAATTCTGATTTTTATAAATACAATTGTTTGTTTTTACCTTTCATCCACCACACAAATTTCTAATGTCTAAGGTTCCTTCTCTGCTAGAATGTTTATCTGATGAGTTCTTCCTAGAAGAAAAAGCATGTGGACTATGTACACAGAAGAAAAATAAAGCACACACCATTAAAATAATATAATAGGATTGTGTGTTTAATGTGTTCTCCTGTGCTCATGCTTTTGATTTGTGATGTATACTCAAAATAATCAGAGTTAGTAGCCAAAATATATATGGTTGAACTTCAATAAAATATTGCAAACTTATACAAATAGAATTATTTAATAATGTCAAAATGCAAAAGAATGATTCACGAAGTTTGTTATATCCTACAAGACATAAAATGTTGGAATTAAGAAATCCCAGAGATTTTTAAATAATATAAGACATAAAAATATTATTGTGGACCAGTATTTTCTGCCAAGATGGGTAAGTTTGTCTTTCTGAAATAGGAAAATTTGAGTTGAGAGAGAAAGTATGGGTCACTGTCAATCAGAAGAGTTGAGAAAGAAAAAAAACAATTTAGCTGAGAGAGCACAATAGGTGATTTCCCTACCAGACACTGAGCTAAAACTTGTGAAAGTTGTGGACCAACATTTGTCTTGCCAGGAACTTTCATGGTCCCTTTACATTGTAGGTTCTGAGCAAGTACTTACATATGATGTATGCTAAATATTATAACCGAAGTTTCCACAGCAACATATAAAAGTAATTTTTCAGCTTACCATAGGCTTTTATATAGACATATACTAATTAGTAAAGTTAAATGAAATGCATCTATAGGTGTTTTCGAGAAACAACACAAGATGACCAAGGAACACCAATTATAAAGATGGAATTGTGCATAATATAAGAATGATGATTATCATCATTCATCACAAAACAGATCAGTAAACATAAACCGTAACCAGAATCATAATGGAAATATGTGACACACATTTAACTGGTTAGCATGCAATCTGGATATGGTCAGTAAACAAAGAAACCAAAGATGTCTTCCTAACTCACAAGGAATGGTTTTATTCAAACCACAGTGAACAGGAGATATTACATGAAAATACCCTAATATTTCTATTAAATTAATAGACATTCAAAGAGCATCTCTCCTACTTTAATCATTTGATATTTTCTTGAAAATGTTTAATAGATTATTAAACATCAGACAATATTTCATGCCAAACACATTTTCAGCATGTAATAATAAATACATAATTATATGCAAAAATCCGACAGGAGAATACAACTTTTAAGAAAAAGTGAAGAAAAAGTTGGAGCTCTCCAAAAAACTCTCATTGGAGAGAGGTTTGGATTTCTAAATAGTAAGAGAGGGAAGCACGATAGTAACTGAAAAAGACAGATATTGATCAAACCACAGTTCCTTCCAAGTACAAATACAGAGACTTCACCATCATAGACAATATATAGTCTTTCAGTATTATTACTCTAGATATGAAGCCTTATGTCTACATTCTTTTTTGTCCACCTGTTTGTCTTCT